CCTGCCCCCACCCACCAGCTGATGATACAACCTCCCCCACCCAGCCACCAGCAGATGAAAACAACCTGTCCAACCCACCACCACGGGATGATAAAACATCCCACCCAGCCCCCCAGTGATGATAAAAACCTCCCCCACCCAGCCCCCCAGCTGATGATACAACCTGCCCCCCACCCACCAGGGGGATGATACAACCTGCCCACCCCACCACCAGCTGATGTTTTTAAAACCTTTCCCCCCCAGCCACCGCTGATGTTTACAAACCTGTCCCCCCCAGCCACCGCTGATACAACAACCGGGTTAAACCCCCCACCAGCTGATGATAAAACCTGCCCCCCACCCAAACCGGGCTGTTTTTTTAAAACCCTGATGACCAAGCCCCAGCTAAATAAATAAAAACCTGTCCCCCCGGGGCCCCCCACTGATGATACAACCTTTTCCAACCGGGCCACCAGCTGATGATAAAACCGGGTCCACCCAGCCACCAGCTGATGATAAAACCCTTCCCACCCACCCACCAGCTGATGATACAACTTCCCCCACCAGCCACCAGCTGTTTACAAAAAACCGGCCCACCCACCACCACGGGAATGATACAACCTGCCCCAACCCAAACCACCACTATGTTTAAAACCTTTTCCACCCAGCCCCCCCAGCTTTTGTTTAAAAAACCTCCCCCAACCCACCCACCAGCGGGATGTTTTCCCCCCCTTTTGTAACCCAGCCCCCAGCTGATGATACAACCCTCCCCAACCCTCCACCACCCCAAAAGTTTAAAACCCTTGCCCACCCGGGCCCCCAAAGGATGATGATACAACCTGCCCACCCAGGACCACTGATGTTTACAACCTGTCAACCCCAGCCACCAGCGAAACAAAAACCCTTTCCCCCCCCAGCCACCGGGGCTGATGATCCCAACCTGCCCACCCCAGCCACCAGCTTTTTAAAAACCCTGCCCACCCATTTAAACCGCTGATGAAAAAACCGCCCACCCGGGCCACCGCTGTTTTGAACAACCCTCCCCACCCCTTTTTACCAGTAAATGATACAACCGGGCCCAAATCCCCCACCAGCTATGATACAACCTGTCCACCCAGCCACCAGCTGATGATAAAAACCGGGCCCCCCAGCCCCCAGCTGTTTTTTTAAAACCCTTTTCCCCCCAGCCACCAGCTGATGATACAACCTGCCCCCCCCACCCCACCAGCTGATGATAAAACCCCTGCCCACCCACCACCAGCTGATGTTTACAACCTGTCCACCCGGGACCCGGGCGATGTTTTTAAAACCTGCCCACCCAAGCCACCGGCTGTTTAAACCCAAACCTGCCCCCCCAGCCCCCACCCTGATGATACAACCTGTCCACCCCACCACCACTGATGATACAACCGGGCCCACCCAGCCACCAAAGCTGATGTTTAAAAACCTCCCCCACCCAGTTCCCCACTGATGTTTTAAAAACCGGGTCCACCCAGCCACCAGTAAAGATAAAACCCCTTTTCCCCCCATTCCCAGCTAAATGATAAAACCCTTGTCCCCCCAAAGCCCCCACCCTGTTGATTACAACCTGAAACCCCCGGGCCACCAGCTGATATTCAACCTGTCCCCCCCAGCCCCCCGCTGTTGATACAACCTCCCCAAACCCAGCCACCAGTTTGTTTGATAAAAACCCCTGCCCCCCCCATTACCAGCGGGATGATTCAACCTGCCCAAACCCAAACCCCAGGGGATAAATAAAACCTGTCCCCCCAGTTCCCAGCTGATGATTAAAAACCTTTTCCCCCCAGCCACCACTGATGATAAAAAATTTGGCCCCCCCCAGCCCCCACCCGGGATGATAAAACCCCGGGCCCCCCCAGGCCACCAGCTGTGACAAAAAACCTGTCCACCCGGGGCCCCCAGTGATGAAACAACCTGTCCCCCCAAACCCAAACCCCCGGGATGATAAAAACCGGCCACCCAGCCCCCCAGCTGATTTTTTAAAACCTTTTCCACCCATTACCACTGATGATTCCCCCTGCCCACCCCCCCCAAAGCTAAATAAATAAACCTCCCCCACCCAGTTACCAGTTGAGGGAAACAACCTGCCCCCCCCCGGCCACCAGCTGATGTTTTACAACCTGTCCACCCGGGCCAACCACTGATTTTTACAACCTTTTCCCCCCAGCCACCAGCTGATTTTACAACCGGGCCCCACCCAGCCACCAGCTAAATGTTTACAACCGGGCCCCCCCCAGCCACCACCCTGAGTTTTTAAAAACCTGTCCACCCAGCCCCCCCAGCTGAGGGATACGACCTTTGTCCCCCCCACCAGCTGATGATACAACCTGCCCACCCGGCCACCAGTTTTTTTAACAACCTTTTCCCACCCAGCCACCACTATGATACAACCTGTCCACCCAGCCCCAGCTGATAACCCAACCCCTGCCCCACCCAGTTCCAGGTATGTTTACAACCTGTCCACCCATTTCCCAAGCTGATGTTTAAAAACCTGCCCACCAAATTACCAGCTGATGATACAACCTGCCCACCCAGCCACCAGCTGATGATACAACCTGCCCACCCAGCCACCAGCTGATGATACAACCTGCCCACCCAGCCACCAGCTGATGATACAACCTGCCCACCCAGCCACCAGCTGATGATACAACCTGCCCACCCAGCCACCAGCTGATACAACAACCTGCCCACCCAGCCACCAGCTGATGATACAACCTGCCCACCCAGCCACCAGCTGATGATACAACCTGTCCACCCAGCCACCAGCTGATGATACAACCTGCCCACCCAGCCACCAGCTGATGATACAACCTGCCCACCCAGCCACCAGCTGATGATACAACCTGTCCACCCAGCTACCAGCTGATGATACAACCTGCCCACCCAGCCACCAGCTGATTATACAACCTGTCCACCCAGCCACCAGCTGATGATACAGCTCTGCCACCCAGCCACCAGCTGATGATACAACCTGTCCACCCAGCCACCAGCTGATGATACAACCTGCCCACCCAGCCACCAGCTGATGATACAACCTGCCCACCCAGCCACCAGCTGATGATACACCTGCCACCCAGCACCAGCTGATGATACAACTGCCCACCCAGCCACCAGCTGATACAACAACCTGCCCACCCAGCCACCAGCTGATGATACAACCTGCCACCCAGCCACCAGCTGATGATACAACCTGTCCACCCAGCCACCAGCTGATGATACAACCTGCCCACCCAGCCACCAGCTGATGATACAACCTGCCCACCCAGCCACCAGCTGATGATACAACCTGTCCACCCAGCTACCAGCTGATGATACAACCTGTCCACCCAGCTACCAGCTGATGATACAACCTGCCACACCAGCCACCAGCTGATTATACAACCTGTCCACCCAGCCACCAGCTGATGATACAGCCTGCCCACCCAGCCACCAGCTGATGATAAAACCCTGCCCACCCAGCCACCAGCTGATGATAAAACCCTGCCACCCAGCCACCAGCTGATACAACAACCTGTCCACCCAGCCACCAGCTGATGATACAGCTGCCCACCAGCCACCAGCTGATGTTTACAACCTGCCCACCCAGCCACAGCTGATACAACAACCTGCCCACCCACCCACCAGCTGATGATACAGCCTGCCCACCCAGCCCCCAGCTGATGATACAACCTGCCACCCAGCCACCAGCTGATACAACAACTCCCCACCAGCCACCAGCTGATGATACAGCCTGCCCACCCAGCCACCAGCTGATGATACAACCTGTCCACCCAGCCACCAGCTGATGATACAACCTGCCCACCCAGCCACCAGCTGATGATACAACCTGCCCACCCAGCCACCAGCTGATGATACAACCTGCCCACCCAGCCACCAGCTGATGATACAACCTGCCCACCCAGCCACCAGCTGATGATACAACCTGCCCACCCAGCCACCAGCTGATACAACAACCTGTCCACCCAGCCACCAGCTGATGATACAACCTGCCCACCCAGCCACCAGCTGATGATACAACCTGTCCACCCAGCCACCAGCTGATGATACAACCTGCCCACACAGCCACCAGCTGATGATACAACCTGCCCACCCAGCCACCAGCTGATGATACAACCTGCCCACCCAGCCACCAGCTGATGATACAACCTGCCCACCCAGCCACCAGCTGATGATACAACCTGCCCACCCAGCCACCAGCTGATGATACAACCTGCCCACCCAGCCACCAGCTGATACAACAACCTGCCCACCCAGCCACCAGCTGATGATTCAGCCTGCCCACCCAGCTACCAGCTGATGATTCAACCTGGCCTCCCAGCCACCAGCTGATGATACAACCTGCCCACCCAGCTACCAGCTGATGATTCAACCTGGCCTCCCAGCTACCAGCTGATGATTCAGCCTGCCCACCCAGCTACCAGCTGATGATACAACCTGTCCACCCAGCTACCAGCTGATGATACAACCTGCCCACCCAGCTACCAGCTGATGATTCAGCCTGCCCACCCAGCTACCCTCGAACGCAGGACACTCACCTTCAGGTATGTCCTCCAGTTGGATGTTTGAATCAAATCAACATTGTCTGAGAAGAATAATGTCTGGAAGTTCTGATTATATACATGTAGATCGATATGTCACTTTTATAATATATTGCGAATATTCGTAAGAGATACTTATATATCATCCAGTCCAGCTGGAGAGAGAGAGAGAGAGAGAGAGAGAGAGAGAGAGAGAGAGAGAGAGAGAGAGAGAGAGAGAGAGAGAGAGAGAGAGAGAGAGAGAGAGAGAGAGAGGAAAATGTTGGTAGATAACATTTATCCTGTCAAGGAAGTGTTGACTGAAATCTGTTATGGTTTTCACCTCCCCTTCCCCCCCTCCCCCCGGTCAGGATTGTTGATGTCTTGTTTCGGTCTCATGAACACGTAAGATTACACGTTAATCTTACAAGCTTTTATGTACATTCAGTACGCATTAATTTTCTATGTGCCTGGTAATAATTTTAATCCTGTAATATTCCTAACAAAATAAGGAGGCCTAGTCAGAAGCACTACCTGATAACAGGTGGAGGAGGGGCGAATCTGCTTAAATTCCTTTGATCAAGAGCCCCTCGACAGCATCAAGGACATTCACTGAGGGGAAGGTAAGGGAAGGGGACACAAGACTCACCTCTCAGTTTAACCTCAGCATATCCAAAGTCTCGAGTAACTCTGTTACTGTCTTGTACCGTCACAAACACCGTCACATCATTCTCAGGCACGAATGCATAATCTTGCATGTTTTCGAATGTCACGTTCATGGGTTCCACCGTTATCTTATCTACGTCAACTGCATCATTGTACTCATGCACGGAGGTACCGTCACTCTCAGGAACACTGAATGCCAGAAAAAAAGAGCTGTTCTCTGCTGCAGCTGTGTCACACTTCACGTTAAGCAGCGTCGATACGGACGCTCCAGAAGGATTGTCTTTAGTGATCGGGAACGTCATATAATTAATTGTTATAGCCCCCGGCATATCTGAAAGAAAAAAAACGAAAAAATACACTTTATCGACTTATTCTCAAACAACTATCACAGTTCACCACTGTATTATGTACTGGTTACAGGCAAAGTAAAACTATGTAAATTCGTTATACACACTCCGTGGTCGCCGCTGTAACACCCCATCATCCCTTATCGCTGACAGCCTCACTCTCTGACTGATTCCTTCTGACTTTTTGGCAGCAACAGATTTATTACGCAAACTTTAATCAGAGGCGTCTCTAGGGTTGGTGTCACCCGGGGCGGAATCTGTGTCACCCCCATGAAATCCAAGGACGGGGGGATGGAGTAGTCAACTACAGTTACATCACTTCTGCATGACCAGTGACTAATGTTTAGCAATGAGAACGTTTAAAGGCCATAAACCGAACTTTATTGATAAAATAAATAATCATAGTAATGAGGAAACAAACTCAAATATCACTTTGAGTACAGCCAACAGATCCTACATTTATTGATCTTCAACAATGAAAAAAAAATAAAAATAGAGAAAAAAAAACTAGTTCCGATCTGACCTTGAGTACAGGTAACATCTCAAAGAATCTGATATTACATTTCCTTGCCTTCAATCCTGCAAATCATCTATCACATCATCAAAATCAATGATTTTCCCTATATAGGCCTATTTGTACTCTAATCATATAATAGGCTATATAGAAACGAAGGATTTTTCTCTTATGTTGCTGCAGCGCTGTTTTGGTCATTAGTGTTACCTTCTTTAGAGACTATGGTGTCACCCCTTAAATGGTATCACCCGGGGCGCCCCGCCCCCCCCTTACGACGCCCCTGACTTTAATAGTACTTTCTTTAGCACTACTCACAGCCCTCTCTAACTCTCCCTCTGCTATCCTCTCCATCCTTGCTAGTCTCTGCTCCAGAAAGCTCCTCCTGCCCTGCAGTGCTCTATGATTCCTGGATTAATTAAGGGCCAAGGAATTTTTTGCGAGAATTTTAAAATTGAAGTTGAAAAATTATGGAAATAATGTTTTCTTACCATAAAAAAATAGTGCATAATTCTGGCAACATATTGATGCAATCAGCTTGTTTCTATCATATATCTAAGTATGTTTTGTTCAAAAATATTATTTTTATATTTTTGCTGTCATCAAGAAGACATGCTGGCAATTACTGTTTTGTTTTTTTTTTTTGTTTTTTTTTACTTCAAAAATTACTATTGTTATGATTATTTCATTGTAAATACTCGACATAGCAACTTGTGTGAGGACTAAAGTGAAGAGCGCCGAGTTGTTGCTGCTCAGTCGCCTCTGGGCTGTCAACAATGACGGGGGTTTGTAACTCGCTCAGATTTACCATAACCATAATTTTATATTATTATTATAATCAAGGGGAAGCGCTAAACCCGGAGGATAATACAGCGCCTGGGGGGGGGATGTGGAAGGCATTCAGGCTTAATTCGGGGAACTGGAGCACAGATCCAATTCCCTAAATCAAGAGCCCCTCACCAACATCAAGGAACCTTCCTTGAGGGGCATAATTTTATAGAAAATAACAATATGAATAACTCAGGAATAAGTTATTGATATTTGTTTTTAGTTTTTGCGAAAAGTAACAATGGGAGTGTCATGATTTTTTCACGCATTATTGATGAATGATGGTTCTATTAAATTTCAGGGTTGATTTGCAATATGTTTTACCATTTTGTTTTTATTGAATCTTATTCTCCCAAAAAAAGCCTTAAAAAAATTCAAAATTTTTTATAATTCAATCTATTGACATTTCCCTCAAAAAACTTTGAAATTTAGATTATCTAACTCAGTCTTTCATCTGATGTTGACTAGAACATTGTACATCTTACCAATTTTGTACACCAGGGAGGGTTTTATGATAAACACTATTTTGCAATATCTTGCAATTTTGCAACATGAAGTCAATACAAACAAGTGTGTAGGATGGAAACTGTTTTTTTAAACCATAGTATAAACTTTGAAATTGGACCAAAAAAAAAAATAAACTGCCTTGTAGCCTCAGCACTTGGTTTTGATGATAATAATAATAATAATAATAATAATAATAATAATAATAATAATAATAATAATTATTATTATTATTATTATTTATAAATACACAATTTGCCTTGATTTATAGCTAAATAAACGAGATCCTACGAACTGTAGGACCAGACAACACAATATTACTCGCGTAATAATGGTAGCATTACCCACAATATGTTAAGTAAAAGGACACATGTGCAACTAATGCAACATTTTGTTGTGGCAACGTTTCGCTCTCCAGGAGCTTTGTCAAGCCGAAACGTTGCCACAGTAAAATGTCGCATCAGCTGCACTTGTGTCCTTTTGCCTACAATATTATTCATCACATACAGATCCTATGGCAGGATACTATTAGCATCCCTACATAGGGATACCATCAAGATGCGTACCAGTAAATGAGACGTCCTGAGGGATCCTGGCAGTGAGCTTGACGGTGGAGTCCTGCGTCTCCAGACGTAGTACTGACCTCAGGTCCTCTCCCAGTGCCTGCAGGAAAGACAGAGAAAAACATCAAATGAAGGAAACTGTAGCGATGTAGGAAAGTACGTGTAGTGATGTAGGGAAGTACGTGTGATGTAGGGAAGTACGTGTAGTGATGTAGGGAAGTACGTGTATTGATGTAGGGAAGTACGTGTGATGTAGGGAAGTACGTGTAGTGATGTAGGGAAGTACGTGTAGTGATGTAGGGAAGTACCTGTAGTGATGTAGGGAAGTACGTGTAGTGATGTAGGGAAGTACGTGTAGTGATGTAGGAAAGTACGTGTAGTGATGTAGGGAAGTACGTGTGATGTAGGGAAGTACGTGTAGTGATGTAGGGAAGTACGTGTATTGATGTAGGGAAGTACGTGTGATGTAGGGAAGTACGTGTAGTGATGTAGGGAAGTACGTGTAGTGATGTAGGGAAGTACCTGTAGTGATGTAGGGAAGTACGTGTAGTGATGTAGGGAAGTACCTGTAGTGATGTAGGGAAGTACGTGTAGTGATGTAGGGAAGTACGTGTAGTGATGTAGGGAAGTACGTGTGATGTAGGGAAGTACGTGTAGTGATGTAGGGAAAAGTAAGTTGTAGTGATGTAGGGTAGTTCCTGTAGTGATGTAGGAGGAAGGACGTGTTGTGAGTAGGGGAAAGTACGTGTTCGTAGTGATGTAGCGGAAAGTACGTTGTAGTGATGTAGGGATGCCTCCAGTGCTAGTGTCTGCCTAGGGAAGTACGTGTGATGTAAGGTAGTACGTGTAGTTGATGTAGGCGAAGCCCCTAACGTGCTAGTGTTGTAGAGCTCCTGTACGTGTGCTCCTGTATCCGGGAAGTACCCGTGTAGTGATGTAGGGAGCACGTGTAGTGATGTAGGACAGTACCTGTAGTGATGCTAGGCCCCGCTCAGTAACTGTAGTGATGTAGGGAAGTAGCTCGTGCCATGTAGGGATGTACGTGCCCCTAGTGTTGTTAGGCCGATGTAGCGTTGTAGTGTGTAGGGAAGTAGTGTGATGTAGCGGACCCCCCCAGCTAAGTGTAGTGATGTAGGGATGCTACAGTGTACGTGATGTTGGGTTGTACGTCGCTTCCTGCCCATGTAGGGCCTTGTACGTGTAGTGTTGTAGGAAAGTTAAGTGTTATTGATGTAGGGAAGTACGCCTGTAGTGATGTAGGGCCCAAGTACTTGTGATGTAGGGTTGTCTCCACCGTGTAGTGATGTCTGCGGCACAGTACAGTGTAGTGATGTAGGGAAGTACCTGTGAGGTAGGGAAAGGTAGTGTTGTGTTGTAGGGAAGCACGTGTAGTGTTGATGTAGGGACAGTACCTTGTAGTGATGTAGGGAAGGTACCTGTAGTGATGTTAGGGATGTAGTGTGATGTAGGGAAGTACGTGTAGTGATGTAGGGAAAGTACTTGTAGTGATGTAGGAAACTGTACGTGTGATGTAGAGATGTTAGTTGGTAGTGATGTAGGGAGTACGTGTGTGATGCCGCTCGCGCCCGCCACCCCCAAGTACCCGCTGTTCGTGATGTAGGGAAGTACGTGTAGTGACTGTAGGGAAGTGCCTGTAGTGATGTAGGGAAGTACGTGTATGCCCCATGTAGGAAGTACGTGTGATGTAGAGAAGTTCGTTTAGTGATTGTCAGGGGATGTACGTGTAAGTGATGTCTGCGGACCCCCCCTCTCCCTCCCCAGTACGTGTAGCTGCATGTAGGCGAAGTGCCTTGTAGTGATGTAGGGAAGTACGTTGTAGTGTTGTTAGGGTAGTTCGTTGTAGTGATGTAGGGAAGTGCCTTTGTAGTGATGTAGGGAAGTAGCCATGTAGTGATGTTGGGATGTAAAGGTATTGATGTGGGAAGTACCTGTTGTGATGTAGGGACCCCCCTCGATCCTGTAGTGTAGGGAAGTACCTGTAAGTGATGTAGGATGGTTCGTGTAGTGATGTAGGGTAGTAGATGTAGTGATGTAAGGAATGGAAGTGTAGTGATGTAGGGAATGTAAGTGTGATTGGGATGCGCACGTGTTAGTGATGTAGGGAAGTACGGTTGGGATGTAGGGAAAGTTGTGTATTGATGTAGGTCAGCGTTCATGTTGTGTGTAGGGAAGTTCTGTAGTGATTGTAGGGTTAGTACCTGTTTGTGTAGGGATGTTCCTGTAGGGGTGGTTGGGTGGTTAGGGGTGGGATGGAGGGTATGGAAAGGGTTGGTTGTAGGGATAGTACATGATTGTGATGTAGGGTCACCCCCCCCCCCCCCCCCCCCCCCCAGTTCTGTTGTGTTGGAAGTTACCTGTAGTGATGTAGGGGAGGTACGTCCTGTTCGTGATGTAGGGATAGTACGTGTATTGATGTAGGGAAGTACCTTGTGGAATGTAGGGCCAATGTACCTGTAGTGTAGGGAAAGTACCTGTAGTGATGTAGGGGAGGGTACGTTGTTAGTGATTGTAGGGATAGTACGTGTATTGTGCTAGGGATAAGTACATGTAGTGATGTTGGGGATAGTACCTGATAGTGTTAGGGAAGTACCTTAGTGCTTCGCGGTATGGGAGGTTCGTGTAGTGATGTAGGAAGAACGTGTAGTGATGTAGAGTGTAGTCCCCCCCGCGTCTCAGTGTAGTGATGTAGGGAAGGTACGTATATATTATGTAGGGACCGGTACGTATATTGATTGTAGGGAGGTACGTGTTCGCTGATGGAGGGACGGTTAAGTGTAGTGATGTAGCGAGGTTACCTGTAGTCGGATGTGCGAGTCCCGGCTACTGTAGTGATGTAGGCGCTCCCCCCCCCCCCGGTAAGTGTAGTGATGCTGGGAAGTACGTGTAGTGACCCCTCCGTCTGGCGCTGGTACGTGTAGTGTGGGAAGTACGTGTAGTGAAGGTAGGGAGGTACGTGTCTAGTGATGTAGGGAACCGCCGTCCCCGTGTAGTGATGTAGGGACTCGCGCTCGCTGTAGTGATGTAGGGAGATACGATGTGCCCCCCCCCCCCCCCCCCCCCCCCCTTGTGATGTAGGGCCCTCAGCTACAGTGTAGTGATGTAGGGAAGTACGCCTGGAGTGATGTAGGGTGGTACGTGTAGTCGCTTGTAGGGATGGTAACGTGTATAGATGTAGAGAAGTACGTGTAGTGATGTAGGGAAGTAAGCTGTGATTGTAGGGAGATAGTTAGTGATGCTCGCCGGAAGTACGGTTGTAGTGTTGTAGTGAAGACGGTTGTGGTGACTGTACCGGGAAGTACGTGTTGGTTGATGTAAGGTAGTACGTGTAGTGATTTGGGAAGTAAGTGTAGTGATGTAGGGACCAGTACGTGTAGTGATGTAGAGAGGTACGTCGTAGTGATGTAGGCGCAGCGTACGTGTAGTGATGTAGGGAGGTACGTTGTAGCTGATGTAGGGATGGTACGTGTAGTGATGTTGGGAAAGTACGTGTAGTGATGTAGGGGACAGTACGTGTAGTGATGTAGGGAAGTACGTGTAGTGATGTAGAGAGGTACGTGTACGTGATGTAGGGACGGTAGTATATGATGCCTGGGAGGTACGTGTTATTGATGTAGGGAGGTACGTGTAGTGATGTAGGAGGTACTTGTTGTGATGTAGGGAGGTAAGTGTAGTGATGTAGGGAGGTACGTGTAGTGATGTTGGGAGGTTACGTTTGTAGTGATGTAGGAGGTAAGTGTAGTGATGTAGGGAGGTAGTGTAGTGATGTAGGAGGTCGTGTAGTGATGTAGGGAAGTACGTTAGTGATTGTAGGGAGGTACGTGTTAGGTGATGTAGGGAAGTACGTGTTAGTGATGTAGGGAAGTACGTGTAGTGATATAGGGAATGTAAAGTGTGTTGATTGTAGGGAGGTTTCGTGTAAAGATTTGGGACAAGTACGTGTTGTGATGTAGGGAAGTACGTGTAGTGATGTAGGGAAGTACGTGTAGTGATTTGGGAAGTACGTGTAGTGATGTAGGGAAGTACGTGTAGTGATGTAGGAGGTACGTGTGTTGTGATGTAGGGAGGTACGTGTAGTTGATGTAGGGGCCAAGTAAGTGTAGTGATGTAGGATCCGGTACGTGAGTGACTGTAGGAGATACCGGGTTGTAGTGTGTAGGGAAGTACTGTAGTGATGTAGGGAAGTTCACGTGTAGTGATGTAGGGAAGTACGTGTTTGTGATGTAGGAAGTACGTGTAGCTGATGAAGGGGAATAGTACGTGTAGTGGATGTAGGGACGGTACGTTGTAGTGATGTGGTGTAGTACGTGTAGTGATTTAGGGAAGTACGTGTAGTGATGTAGGGAAGATTACGTGTGTAGTCGCTGTAGGGAAGTACGTGTAGTGATGTTGGGAAGTACGTGTAGTGATGTAGTAAAGTACGTGTAATGTTGGGGATTTGTCAGTGATGGCTAGATAAGAAGTGGTACGATGATCTAGGAAAGGTCAGTCGTACAGTGACGCGCATTGAGTGGCAATATGCAATGCGTATTTGCGCACAGGTGAAGTATATGAACTCACGGGTAACGTAGTGAAACTGATTGTCTAATTTTCTGAAGTGGATGTCAGCCTATGGACTTACATGAATGATTGTCGGTTGATTAACGTACCTGAGTGGTGACAACTGATTACCTCCGACTTGTGTCAAGTTATTAACCTGAGTGGTGTACACTGATTATTTCAACTTACCTGAGTGGTATTACCTGATTAATTTAACCGAGTGAACTGACTGATTAAGAAGGACACTTATGTACACTTCAGGACGCCTGTTAAAATGTTTGAACTAACCTGAGTGGTGAGGCTGTGAGTGCAGGTGTGGCAGGTGAGGGAGGTGGCAAGAGGGTGTGGCTGACCTTCCTGTGTACAGCGTGATCCGCCGTGTAGTCCCAGCGGTTTGTTCAGTTACACTGCTCCTATGATGTCCACGCTCCCCCCTGTGGTGAGCAATGTTGATGGAGTGGCCTTGTTATCGTGACTGTTGTTGTTGTGGTGGTGGTGTTATGGGGCTGTAATGGGCTTGTATTGTGATCTGTTGAACTGTAGTTTTCGCACAGTGAAACTCTGACTGCAATACTGGATCTCCAGTCACTGTTTCGTTGTCAAGATTATAGTGCACAGTTTACCATAGCTGCCTTCACTCGTTCTCAACTCGTACCACCAACATCAAAACAACATATATAGCCCGGCGGGGAAGTTTGCCCCCCCCCCCCCCTCTACCCAGTGTTACACTTATTGCATCATCTCCTGTTCCTCTACCCAGTTTTATACCTATTCATCACCCCCCCTATATTATATATCCTATATAACCCTACTATAATACTATATATATATATATATATATATACTAGTTATGTATTGGTTCTCGCTTAGTAAAGCAACTTCATTTTAAAGTTAAGTCCTTCTTTGTAAAATTTCCCTTATACGTTTATAAGTTATATATATTTTTAAATTATGTTAATGTTCAAAAATTAACTAATTTTGTCATCAAAAGAACCTTAGAAGCAGTTATTCTAACCTTATTATAACTAAAACGCAATTTAATTTAGCCTAATCCAATAATATATTTTAGATACTTATAACAAATTTATTTGAAAAAATAAACAAGCACAGTGAAATATATTTTTCATTAGGTTTCAGACTGATTTTTCCTAAATTGATGCATACACAAATCTTCGACTGCCTTATTCGGCAAGAAGAGCGGTTGCTATTTATGCCAACAAATCGGCAAGGGTTTTACCTAGTCACTGCAACGACAGATATATACTACGAACAATCGCAAAAAACAGAACGATCTTAACAATGCAGGGAAAGCAAGTGGGGATGGGAAATCTTTCGTTCGCCACAAGACTCCCCATTAGCACTCTCGTGCGTCATCGGTGTTTTATATTAAATTGGCTTCCAAGCCTGGGTAGGCGATGCTACCTCCCCCAGTAATCTACAACAAGTAGTGTGGCCGTATTGACCCTTAAGATGGCACCCAGAAACGTGAGATCCCCGCTGGCAAGGTCAGTCCGGACCATCCACGTCTCTCTTGATCGCACCACTCACAGATACTGCCTTCAGCAGTGTTGAACTGAACGGCGAGTCAAGAGTTACTTGTGTGACTAAATTCTGGCGACCACCTCCTGGCTATGTGATGCTCCCATGGACGCGGACGCCGCGTAACTTTGAGTCCACCAACACCAGATCCCCGGTACTGTCCCCCCCCCCCCCCCCCCCCCCCCCCCCCCCCCCGTTAGTCCTTGTATGCTCCACATGTGGTACGTGTGCACAACGCTCTAATGGAAACACACGCCAACACGCTCACCACTCCTCTCACGCCATCTCTTCTCCAGTCAGTTCAACTTCTCCACTATTGATAGTAGAAAATAAAAGATAGAAAAAAACTATTCAGTTATGTTGGTAAATCTTGCAATCTTGGAGCAATATAAATGTATTTATTACTACATAAAGAAATAACGTTCCTACGCCTAATATATTATATAATAAACAAACATATCTATATCTTTCCATGGACAAAAAACTGAAATTGTACTTCACGTCGTTTATTTTGGTGATATTAAGCTAAAATCCCAAGTATGTCATTCACCCTACGTACCATTCACCCACGTACATTCACCTCGTACATTCTCCACGTACATTCGTTTTAATACAATTGTGGAATGGACAAAATTGTTATTTGAAATACAGGAAAAGAAGTTAGATTTTGATTCCGTTTAATCTAATAACCATAAAACAACAAACGCCTAACTTTGCGACTCATTGGTTTAGAACCAACACCAACAAGTTGAAGTCTCGCGAGTGACTCCACGCAATTTGGGATACGTCTATTTTGTGGAGAAACGTATCGCCAGCAGTGGCTTCATCATTGCCAATTACGAGAAGAACAGTGGAAACAGTGAGGGAGTTGCAGGTAATCAGTCCCTCAGCCTGGGAAACCTTGATATGATTCAGGTCCATCAATCTTGAAAATGATGAATGAACCTGAACACACGTGTCTCATTCCATAGACATAACTAGCCTAGACAAGACTACTAGAAATGTTCGATTACGAAGGGTGACATTAGGTTAATTAAGTACATGGTCATTCCCATAGACACAAAACTATATGTACTAGGGTTAGGTGGACATTAGTTTAGGCTATTAAGTGGAACATCGGTACTCGTTACTGCTCCCAGTACTCGAACAATTCGGTACTCAAACGCTTTGGTAAAAAGCTCGCTCTCTGTAGTCGACCATTTGTCGGCACTCGAACAAAAACAAACACGAAACTGCCAGAACATATGCGGCAGTCTCACCGCGGTTGTCGCTCAGCTCCAGATAAATCCACTGAAATTCACTGTAAACTATTTCGTTTTTTCACATTTTTATATATTATTATGTATAAATAAGTCACCATGAGGCCTAAGAAGATTAGTGTTAAACAGTCAACAAATATGAAATTGGTTAGCTGTTTGCCTTGATGTAAACCACCGCACCGTCCTCTCCATTATGCCTTTTATTAATTTCGGATTCTTACATAAGAACATAAGAAAGGATGAAACTGCAGCCCCCGAGGCCTGTTGGCCAATACTTGGCAAGGTCCTTTACAATTCATCCACTAACAAAACATTTGCAAAACCCAGTTTCAAAGATACCCAAGAAATATGCACTGATGTGCAAGTACACTCAATCCAACACTACCCGCTCATGTACTTATCAAACTAATGTGAAACAGACCCTATAATACTCAATAACATAACTACTCAATATCATAAGAAAATAAGAAATGGGAGGAAAATGCTAGATAGGCCCTACTGGGCCCAGAAGCAAAGCATCGGGTTATTCTTTGAGAGTTTCTGATCATCAAGCTGGAATAAATGTGATATAGACAAACATTTATTACTCAATATTAGTTAATTACTCAGCATTGTATTCGCTCCAACGCTAGTAGCCGGCTAAAAAGTCACTTATCAGTTTCTGAATCCTCCTGATGCGGGCCCCTCACCTCTCTCTCACATGGCTCATCTCACTTAGGGCCCCTCTCTATATTATGCTTGACTTTCCATTTTAAATTTTTTTTCCACACTAAAACTGCAGATTATCTGCTATGCAGACTAATGGCCATTACTATAAAAATTGGTACTATATATTTAGCCAGAGCAAATTTTGTGTAGGCATATTCTCGATCCACACACTCCTGTTTGACGTGTGATGGACGGTTAGGTGATTTGTTTAATTTTGAAATCAGAAAAATCGACATTTCAGCTACTTTGAGCTCGAATTTCAAGCGTACTTTTAGTTGTCAAACCATTCAATCCTATCATATCTAGTTCTGTTAATATATCTTTACATTCTATCAAATGAACCAAGGAGAAACGAGAATACAATCACAAATACCATACGAAAATACACTACAAAGATCGCGGAAGTGTATTTTGGGGGTATGAAACGTAATAATCAATTTTACATTATTCCTTTATGGGAAAAAATTCCGTTCGGCAACTCGAAACCTCCTTTTCTGCGAACGATATTAAGGTCGAGAGTACAAAGTTCCATGTATAGAACAAGGTCTGTTCCCATAGCCACTAATATACACTATTACCAACCTTCATTACAAAACGTACATACATAACGGAGAATTTACTTAAAAAGTAAACATGGGACAGTCAAAGTGCATTACTGACAGAAAATATATATTTATCAATTGAATAATTAAATCACTCCAGTTATTCACTGTGTGATGCAAAATAACCTGAGTTGTCTTATAATTTCACCGTGTGACTAAAAAAGAAGAAAACATATAGAGCGCAGCTATATAAACAATTCATTATAATGATATTGTTACACACGGTTACTGTGACACATCGGTTTTTGTTACACACCTCGGTCTTACTGTGACACATCGTTCGATTGTACCAATCGGTTTTCGTGGGTTTGACGTCGTTACTTAAGCACAGCTGGTGACGTGTACTAGTCTGCTGAAGACCTGTTTGTGTGTCTCTGTGATATGAACAGGATGCCTACTCTTGAGCAGCTTTACTGCAGCCTGAGAGAAGAACTCAGAGTGCTAAAAGGAGATACGGCGATTAACGGAGCAGAGAGACAAGCATGATTCCGCTAGTAACGCCCTCCTGCTGTGAGTTCCCCAGGTTATGCTACGCGGGAGCACTCGCGCGTCTCGTGGTCTCGGGGCAACAGGGACCAAAGCTGAAGATTAAGGAAAACGGTTGGGAGGCAGAAATCAACGAGAAACCAGAAGACTGCAGTGGAAACTTCCAAATCCTTCTCGGTGCTACCTGACGAATTGTGAGTGTTCTACTCGGGAATTCCACAACGAGCAACAAGGTAGCATTGGCTGAGTTAAGGTAGTCATCCTAGAAACCCCAACGAAGACCATCGAGAAACGTCATGACGAATTCTACAATGGGTTGTGTAATAGCTACATGGCCGATTTGAGTCGAACTCTCGGGCATCTCTACGGGCGACGCCAAGGAAGGTAAAACATTGTTGTTGTTGGGGCGATAGTCAGATTAGGTACATGTGATAGGGCATTTGTTTTGAAGGATAGGAGTAGGAGGCAGGAGAGTGTGTTTTCTGGGGCTGGGGATGAAGGATATTGTTAGGCGTCTGGTGATCATCATGAGAGGTAATGGGAGAACAAGCAATCCTATTATCTGTCTCCAGTGTGGAAGGGCAACGATTGTTTGGCGACGTAGGAGGTGAGGAACTGATTAGCAGGTAGTAGGTCACAATTAGAGATAATTAGAAGGAAGGGTGGTGATATGTCATATGTGGCATTTTTGCCCAAGTAGAGGAGTTGAGGAAAATGAATGGTGTACAGAGCAAATTGGTGTAATTGCTGGCTGGACAAATACTGTAAGGAA